ACATGCTTGCAACAGCTTAAGGGCAGTGACTAGGCTCAATTTCTCATCTTCATTGTTTTTGATTTTCGTATTCAGATCCGATACCATATAAGAATGATTGTTAAACCTTTCTTTCAAGGAGTCGTATTCGCGCCTAAGTTTTCATGTCTCAGGGTAACGTTTTCATGCTCTAGGCTTGTTAGACAATATTCAGTTACTTTAGTGCCACCATTCAAATTCAGTTCTTTTAGCTGATCAAACTGTTCGGCAAAGTTCTCCTTTATTTGTTGAAGCTCTGCTTTCGTTTCGACAATATGTTGGTTTAGTTTTAATTTAATCTCCCTTACCTCAGTAGGGAGTTCGTTACAGACTACCTGAGCGGTTGTTTCACATTCGACAGTTGTTATATCGCCACCGTCGTCCTCCGTGTCATTTTGAGCTAAGGCGATTCTGTTGTGTTCTTTCAAACCTTCTTCCTTCAGATTTAAAATTACTCGTTCAGTCAGGTCTTTGCCCTTTTCTCCTTCAAAGGATATATTCATACTTTTCGTTTGCCATGTAACAGCCAGTAACTCACTTTCAAATTTCCAAGTTCCGCCGCTGGGAGATCGCCAGTTTGTGTTTTCTACTGTATCTTCGTCAATCTCCGTTAACACAAATGCTTTCAAGTCTTCTAGCGCCCCTGACCATTTCAGTATGTTCTTCGATAAGCAAAAGTTACGGTACAAAATATTCTTAACAGATCGTCCGTAAAGCACACGTCCGTACACGTCGAGGAGCTGCCTATGAGCGCCATTTGGAAAATAATTTAGATTTAAAACGCATTTATTTCTCCAAAACGTTTTAAAATCAGGCGCGTGACTTTGCGGGCATAAATTCGCAAAATAATTTAGATTTAAAACACATTTATTTCTTCAAAACGTTTTACAAAATTTATTACGGTCTTCAGGTGATAATCTTGAAACATTTTCAGGCTTCATTAGAGTATGTTTTTGCTTTTCCTTCAGTGAAAACGTTCATATCGCTCTCTTTCCTTTGGTTTCATCGTAACCACATAACTTTCTTTCCAATCTGCAGAGTCCACCCAATTGTGGAAAACGTTTCGCTTGAACCTTGGTCGTTCACCTTCCGTTTGTGGTGATGTAAGGAAATTAGGTTTGAGAGTAGCAGGACTTGTAATGGTATCTTGGCAATCACAGGAGTAGGAGGCATTTGTCGTGGTATTTCTGCAGATTTGTGGTGTTGTTCAAACAGGGGCTTCGGAGGAACAGGAACATGCATGGATATAGTCTCAATAGCCATGACGGTAGTCTTAATGGTTACGAGTATAGTCTTATCGGTCATGACCATAGTTTTAATAACTATTAATAATAACCTTAATTGTCATGATTATAGTCTTAATGGTCTAACACATAAGAAATTCATTTTAGCTTGTAATCCATTAACGACTGCTGATAATTTTCGCAGTACGCGTTTCTCATAACCACAAAAGACAAAATTTCGATATATCTTGCAAAAACCCACAACGTATACTAATTTCAGATTGTACAAGTTTATGCCCGCACAGCCACGCGCCCGATTTTAAAGTCTACGCCTGCGTAATAAACAATCCCTATCTATCCTTAATTAATAAACACTGAAAAAATAATACTTTAAACAATACCAGAATATTTCACTTGCTCACTCTCATTTACTGAATATTTCATGTGCTAACTCTCATTTGCTAAAAAGTTAATGAACGCACCCTCATTTGCATGAATATTTAATTACCTCACCCTCACTCACACTTCCTCATCCCTCAGAAATTCGAGTCGAACGGCCCCTATATTACTACTGCAAATCAAGAAAAGCAAACAAATTTTTTTGCCAAAGAAAAGAAGTCAAAAAAAGCGGAGGAGCAACAGCCAAAATCCAAGAAATCTAAGACTGATAACAAGAAGTCAACGAAAGCTAAGAATGTTAACGTGGTCATTGTGGAAGATTCACAATGTCCTATGTGTGTGATGGATTTTGGCCTGAGCCATTGCCAGGAGAGACTTGAGTCAAATGTTGCAAGTGCAAAAAGTGGTTGCACGAAGAGTGTTGTTCCTCTGTAATATGCAAGATTTGCTATGACTGTTAGATATCAAACTTTTTTCCACTTTCCAAATGCATTTTTGACTTAGTTTTATCCAACCATTAAAATACTTTTAATATTTTATAAATTTCAGTATATTTAATATCTGTCTCATTTTGCCCCAGTTTATAGAGGCAAAATGTGACATTTACTTCAGATCGTTTTTCTAAAATACATGCCACACTATTATACCTGAAGAACAGTTTTTTTCCCTGAATTGGTTCACTAGAATCTGCTTAACATGTTTTTTCCGATTTCCCTTAAAAACGACGTTTTCAGGAGACTTAAAATCTGATATGAAACGAAGATATATTAACTAAAATTAATGATCACTTTAAAACTCTCATTTGAAAAACCAAACTAACCAAATGACTTGTTAGTAGGTGGCTCGTGCGACCTATACTCTAAAATATTTTTAAATGCCACTTCAAAATACTTTTACAAAATAGATTAAATTGTCTTGCTTGACTTCAACCATTGTTTTGCACCCACTCAAGATAATTCCGGAATGGCTATTTAATATTAAAATTGAGTTATATATATATCATGTATTACATATTCTACAAGACAATATGATACAGGACAGAATTGTCTTTATAAGTTTGGCAATCCAAACTTGACACTGCATAGCAAGTTTTGAATAATATGATTAACTCTATTGTACCTCAGCGACATTCCCATTGGTGAGTATTTTAACTGTCATATCTCAGTTTGAAAACTGCACTCGGAGTTTACACAAGGAACAACAGACGTATAAATTATGTGCATGTCGAAAAGAATTCGCTTACAGTGGTAACACTTTGCATCGAATAACTCAAATATCTTCGCAGAATTCGCTCAGCCCCTATTTAAGAACGTCGCCTAATACTTCTGTTTACATTATTTGATTAATTATTTCTGTTTTTTACCGATGTAGCGTAGTGAGTTTAATTTCGGCAAGATTTGGTATTTACACAACAAGCCATACGGCTCAAATTGTTATATTTTGATTTTCAGAATTTATTTATAGTTTCAAGTGTTTGTCTAGATTATCCTCGATATTTCTATACAGAATTCACGTAGCTTGTAATTTAACAATATTTAACAATATCACTTCTAACCTAGGGTTTGTATTTGGTGATATTTTGGTTTCTTGTTTCTTTGTATTCACAACAAGTCATGCGACGCGCGATTGTTGTATTTTGGCTTTCAGAATCTGCTTACAAAAGTTACAAATTTTACAGAGTATCCTGAATATTTCTTTCAAATTCGCGTAGCTTGTAATTAAAACATCATTGCGTGTTACCTGAAATTGTACTTTATTTCTTTTTGTTTCTTATCTCGTTGAAGAAAAGTTTTGTTTCATGATTTGGTAATGCTACGCACGACTTGGCTTTCAGAATTTGCTGACAGTTGCAGCTATTTTCATGGAATGTCTTACATGAATATTTCTGCAGAAATCGCTGATCTCGTATTTTAACAACCTTGCTTACCACACTAAACCGAAATTTTTTCAGTGATTTGTGCCACAGATGCATCTGGTTAAAGCTAATACTGTACAAATAGTCAGACCGGAAGCCTTAAGGTTCGTATTTATAACATAACATTTGTATTTGCTGTGAATAATGTTCTCTAAGTTATAGGATAAATTGGCAATTAATTTTGGTATATTTGGGTACAAGAATTGGGTATATTTGTGAGGTTATCAGTGATAATCTCAATTGGTTAGTTGAGTCTTAGAATTTTTTGTGACCGGAATGAAAAAATTCATGACAGTATTTGGGCGGTCTTTCGGATGTCTTTTATGCTAACGAAATTAAACCATAGTATTTACATTAGTTGTCATAATATATTTAGCTCTTTTACATTTCTAGTGTAAAGTTTGAATCAATTGGCGTATATTCTGTGACGCCATGCATACAGTACGGTCAAACATGCAGTAAAATCATAAAATTATAAAAGCCGTGGAGTTATGGTCCTTTCTCACTACATTTTTAGATCGATCTGTGATTAATTTCATCAATTAGTCTGTGGGGCCACTGTGGTGCCCATCGACTCCAGGTTGCCCTTTGATAGACCACAAAATGGCAAATTGCGTCATTTTAATTACGTATTTTTTACGAAATAAAAATCAAAATGGCGACTATCGCTATTGCCACTATTTTGGTCCAGTCGAGTCTTTTCTTTTGGAATTTTTGATTGAACTATAATTATTAAGAATTCCCTTCGAGTTATCAAGACGTTTTACTGTTACGTTATCGAAGAGGGAAGTGGATAATTTGTACATAATTTTATATATATTTAAAGTTTGTATCGCGCGCCGGAGCCGCGGAGATATTGGGCTCGAAATTTGGATGCTTTCTATATATTTACTGTTTAATTTTCAAAATCTCAAGAGTACCATTTCCAAACTTTCCTGTCATTAATAATATTCTGCATTTTTGGATCTACATAAATTAAACTTAAAGTCAGACATCGCCTGCTTCTTTCGAGCCTATACTGTATTTTATTCCTTTTAAATAGCATTGAAGGATTAAAGTTCATTGGGACAAAATGAAAAGAAGGAACTCATTTTCCTGATATCGTGTGGAGGTAACTTGGAATCTTTCTTGGCACAATAACATATACTATTATTCCAGTTCGCTGCCTTTATACTGCACACTGGTATGTAGATGTATGAGTCATATGACTAAAGCGTTATTGCTATACATGATTGTAGACACACGACATCAGCTAGTCGCTTGGTAATCATGCGAAATACCTCTCCTCTCACGAGGCATTTTAAACCGCAGACGTTATAATGCGTCTAGTTTCGAGGCGAAGAATATTCTTGCCTTTCAGCCTTCGACGCACTAACTAGTTAGCTAAGTTCGGCTTTAACTTGGCCAGTTGTTAACATAACACCCGCCGGTCTGTGTGATGACAACTGGATAAACGTTTATTTTTACACATACGATACAATATACTGCACTACATACTACAACTTGTTTAAACTATTACCGCTAACTGCAAGACCGGCGAGAGCCAACCACGGGCCGCGGGACAAAATGACGAATTGGTGAACATGGGCCCCCTGTCCCTCTCGACTCTCCCGCTGGCGCTTGCCCACGCCAAAGTCTATTTTTAATCGCAATCAACGAGAGAATTACCAGATAATTACTTGCAAGAAATCACCGCATAACTGATAAAAACGCAATGTGAACGATGTTCAGCTAACTGTTTTTGCTGAGAAGGCAATAGAAAATCGTTTATTTCACATTTGGTTCGTTTGACGTATGATCGATCACGAGGATCAGCGGATAGTGTGCAAGTAGGCGTATTTCATTTAGGACAAATATAAAGCAATGATAAACGTTATCGTGGGACAATTCCATTTTGCCTTCATATTGTGCCCTGAAGACTAATAAGTACGTTTCTGTATGTAATTGGCTGCGTTAAAATTTCTTGTGGGCTCCTGCCGACACGTTTTTCTTCGAATTTTGTATTAAACTCCATTACAGTTAAAAAATGTGAAATTTCTGATACATTTCTAATACAAATGACTTGCATCAATAGAAAGCTAACAAAAAACTACATTTGAAACATTTAAATGGTTAGTTGAGATTT